ATGTCTCAGTGTTTTGGGTGGTCCTGCTTTTTCATGAAGGTGTCTCATAGGAATTGCAACTCCTCATATCCTCACAATGTAAAGAAGTTTTTATATAAATACGATAGCATGTTCTATAGCATGCCAAAAATAGCTGTTCCTGGTCTGTTTGCACCCAGCTTGGAGTGGAAGACCCCACACAGGTGGGATTACCAGTGCTCGTGTGTGAGCGTCCGTGCCTGCTCACGACGGACTGAATGAAGTGGCCTGGCACTGCCAACAAGTGCAACGCTTCAGAAGAGCTTTGCGTCACAGGCAGGCTCCTCACTGTGGTCTTCAGCATGAATGAACGGTAGCCCTGTGCTGACAGAATGCACATAATGAAAGAGAAATGAGAACAATACAAAACCTGGAATACTTAGAGTCACTGAGCTGGCAAAGACACGATGAGACGATCGCCTGGGAGAGGAGCCACACACCTGCAGGCTGTCAGACCTCTTCAATGACACACAACCAATACAAAATACTGGCACTCTTACTACATTTCACGAGTTTTTTTTTTTGCAATCAAACAGAGCACAGCAGCACTGAATCTCGCTTCTTAAAAGAGCTGGTGAATCTGGGACAATGGCTCAGTAAAAGACACATCATTACTCAGCTGGCGTTTCAAGTCAGTTGATTAACTGTTGCCTGTGAGGGACAGCAGACAGGTCCTCTGTGCACGCCGGGGTGTGTGTAAACTTATTCGCCCGCATGATTAAAGAAACCTGTGTCTCCTTCGAAATGAAAAAAAACAACAAATAACAATATAAAACAGCAAACACTTTCATGGGCTAAATTAAGATGCATATCTTTGTGTTCCAGAGATCACAGGCAGACAGAAAAAAAGCGTAAATAACAATCAAGCAAAAGGAAATTCTCCGTGATGAGGCCATGTGAGAGAGAAGGATAACACTGGTTCTCTAGTGCTTCTGAATCCCAAATCCCAATCCTGAGGTAAGGATTTATTGCAGACTTTGAAAATATTCAAGGTTTTGCTTGTCTTTGGACCAAGCTAAATAATGAAAAGCTTGGATGCTTTTCCAAATCTGTCAAGACTGTAAATAAAAATAAAAATATGGTTATGAACTTCCTTTTTCAGACTGTAATGGAAAATACATGCAGTTATTAAAACCATTACTCAGTAAGTACACTCAATAGCTTAAGACAGGGCTAGGAAATAGACTGTCCCACTTGCATTGCCTTATCTCCTACAGTCAGAGTTTCCCTTAAAAAGTGCATTAAAAAAATTAGGCTTCTCTCACAAATCTCCCCTCTCTTACAAGCTGCCACCCATCATTACCATAACACTACAAATCCCAGCAGTCTCTGTAACATGTTTTAGAAACTGCACCTTTAAAGTAAAAAAAAGTAAGCTTCTGTGACAGGAAATATGGAAAAGTTATAGGACAAAAATAGGTCTAAACTCTATGGAAAACTGACTTTAGGGACACAAAATTAACAAGACAACTGACTGCAGTTTCTAACTAAATCTGAAAAGCATGACAATGATGTTGTAAACATCATCTGTGGTGGTTAATACATGGTTAAAAATTAAAAGCACAATTTTTAACTTCTACAATTTGTTTGTGCAGATAGTATCCTCAGGCAGACTACTTTGACAGCAACTAGAATCAAATGTCACAGAGATAAATGACTAGTTCTATATTCCGTAATGTTCCGGGCCATCAATAACTTCTCCTTCACAAAGCCCAATAATGTAACACATCTCCTGGATGTGGGCGTGCTGCTACACTTGTCCACACATGCAAGCGCAAAAAACAAGAAAAGATATTTGCCTACTTGCAGCAAATCCTGGTTCATAACCTTGGAGTAGTATGTTAATTACACATAGCTCCATTGACGGCAGCACTTCAGGACTGTAATTGCAATCATTTTCAAAACAGAATCCTAGAGGGGGCTGTAATTTGGAGCTCCCCGTCATCGGTGTGAGCGAGCAGAAGCTCTAAAATGTCTTGTTGCTGATTATTTCTGTTTCTGTAAGCACGGTTCACGAGTGGTATTTAACCGTTAAACTGTTGCATCACACCTCCAACCCAGAGAGGTCAAACGTGAAAAGCTGTCTGACTGGTGTGTGCAAATACACCACATGTTTTCGTTTTCTGTTTCGCCTGCACAAATCCTTCCAAGACATCTGCTGAAAGATGCAAAACTAATGTCCTATTTAAAGGCGTATCTTTGGCTGAATTCTGTAAATAAACTCCTCGAGTCTGTTTTCTAAGCATATATATGTACTGTATATGTATTCTACATGTACATCATCCCAGATATGGGTGTCTGCAAAGCAAAAACAAACAAAGATAATAAAAGATATACTTAGTAATTATATCACTACTGAGTAAGAAAATCATATAACTGGGTAAGAGAGCAAGGCATGAGAAATTTTGTACTGTTCTGTCAGGTTATGCCAAAGCATGTAAGATCCCATTTGGATTTGGATTATTCCATTTGGATTTGGGTAGATAAAGATCCAAGGATCTCATCTATCCACTTCTTGCAGCTTCAGTCACCTGGCTGGGTAGCTTGTTCCACACCCCCACAACCCTCTGTATACAGAAGGTTCTCAGCTATAAATGCACTTTCACTCAGTCGGGAGTATCACATGGCAAGGGATGAACTAAAAGTAGACACTGGGCACACAGAAGCCTCTATGAGCTTTGACAACATCAGCTGGTTAATACAGGATCCGTCCTCATGTTCCTATATGTTGTTTATTAGCTTTGTAACTGTTCATTTAAAAAAAAAGATTAACACCCAAACAGCCTCCAACAAAGGAGAAATTACAGAAATGAGCCATGATTGTTTTATCTTCAATCTGAAACAAAAAACTTTAGTATTCCCTTCTAGTTAGAGAAAGACCTATAAAGTATAAAATGTGTTTTAGCAAATGGAATTATTTTATCCATCTAACAAAAAGGGTAACACATAACATTTAGTTCATTTTAACAGGTTATGCCGACGACATTGAAGGGAAATTGCTGCGTCTTCTCCCTACTGTCAAAAACAAAGTGATGAATTGTCTGCCTAGCTTCATGCTGAATTCAGCAAAGAGAACCTCTGCAGTTTATTATTCCTCACGGTTTCAATTCAAAAGCCGGGCTATTTTTTTATGGGCTGGGTCATGTTTAAATTGATTTTTTAACATGGTTTTTAATCATTCACTGCGCTTAACACCTCCCAAGATAGCACAAGAAGGTTTAACTGCAGGAGAATAAGAAAAACATTTTAATGTTCCTTGAAATTAAATAATAATAAATCGGTTGAACAATATTCCTTTCGTAAAACAGTTATCCCAGGGTTTGTCCACACTTTCTAGGTTTCCTTCCAACTTCCAAAGACATGCAAGTTAAGTTTATTTGACCCTAAATTGTCTAGCATGCTGGGGCTCAAGGGTATTCATACTTGGCAGTTTTGTTCCCAGTTCAACCAGTACTCGCTATCGGACTATAAAGAAACATCACCAGGCGAGCTTGATGGGCTGAAAACTGGGCCTCTCGTTGGTAACCATTCTGGTATTCTGAAAGTTATAAAGTTATTACAGAAAGCCATGGCCTTGTTTAAGTGGAGATAAAAGTTTGCTGCATTTCTTTAATTGGATTTTAGCAAAGGCAATTGAATTCTGTACAAGAATTACACTGGTTTTGTCTTCACAAAGCACTGCAGCCTCCATATATTCCCTAGGAACAGGGCTCCATATTTTCTCATGCCTGTCTGTACTTTAATTGCTTATTTTCTCAATGCTTAGCTATGCGTCAGCTGTCCAGTTGGAAGAGGTCAGTGTGTCCTTTACACGTACGAATTGCTATTGAGCCTTTCAAACGGGGGGATCTCTAGAACTTGGTTTGAGGTGTACTGGTGTTGCACAAAGAGTTCTTCTGAAAATATATCAGCGAGAACAACTAATTCTCCGTGCTGTTAAATTCAACCTGTATAGAAGGATAAACCTGGGCTCTCAAAGATCTTAGTGTGTTTTCAGGCAAAGCGCAAAAGAAATTCTGAAGAAAAAAAAATAACCTTTAAACAAAATGACAGTGATTTTAGTCAACACACAGACATAGTGTTATTTAAAACCCTTTTCTACTTATAAGGATCATCCAGAAATATCCACTACCTTCCTAAACATAGTGCCAGAAACCAGAGCCTGGGCACTGACACCCAAAACCTAAACACAGGCAGCATCAATAACTCTAACCTTTTGTTTAGTACACAAAGCACGTCTTGGGGAAACTGCAAAAGGAGCCCTGCTTTCCTTTTCTTCATTCATTTACGCTATTATGAACTGAAACTGAAAAAAAAGCAGCAGCGATATAAAATGTCATGGGAGTTTGGCAAGTAATACGCACATGATGCAAATTTAATTCACTTAATCGAGACAAAATTCCAAATATACCACAATTAAATAAAAGACATTTTCATCACTACTGAGGTAATAAAAAATGAATTGAGAGCATTCACAACTTAACCTATATGTTATCGGCAACAATCCAAATGTAATTGAGTACTGAGCACACGACCAATGGGCGTTTCCTAACGGCTGGGGATCTAAGAATGGTCAATTTCTCACATCATCTGAGTACATGAAAAACAAACACATCCAAAACTGCTACCACTAATGAACACATATTCAATATCCTTGATCCTCAAAGGGATTTTTAAGCATAATTGGAGACTTCTTCTGTCTTTCTGAATGTACTGCAGCCCAGCAGCAATCCCATCGTTCTCTTCAAGCTCACAACATGGAAGAGCTCGGTTGTGTGTGTCATAAACACCAGATTCACGCTGTGTCCTGCCAAGGGACGGATCAGACTAATCCACTTGCAAAAACCCCTCCTCCCCACAACGTGAAGAAAGGGTTAGTGTTAGGAAAAGACACATAAACAGTTTCTAAATTTGAAAGCATTCACTGGTTAACCTGCAGAATGCTACCAACCTGTTCAAACATGGGTCAAAATTCAAGCAGCGATATTATTTTAAGGTTTTATTGGTCACATTTTACTCAAGTACAAGGGCAGACGCTAGTGTATTTGCTTTTTATCTGCATTTTTTAGCAAATGACAGCTACAGTCTTTTCCCATCATGCAAAATCCCCAGCATGCAAACAGTATCTCACAGAAAAGGAGAAAGTCAGCCTTTGTCATTAGTTACCTCATGTTACGGTCATTTAACACTGTCTACATGCAATAATTTAACAGTCACATTACTGTTTTTTAATAACACATTAAAACATACAAAAATAAAAAATAACTTTTAAATCTTAGACATAAACCTACAAAAGAGGTTGGTATTTTAACATATTCTGTCCCTTCATATAAGAGAAATGCACAAAAATGGTGCATTGGGCAGTCAGGAGTAAAATTGTCAGTGTGAATAATTTCAACATAGCAGTCAATCACCTACAGCAGGTTATTCCACTAATCTGCATAATTTAAAGGCATCTTGTAATAAAACCGGTAATCTCAGTTAATTACTGTGACACCTTCTTTTCCTGGCTGATATATGCTGCACCTTTCTGGTGTTTGTGTCCGATTGTGTTAGCAGTCACCAGACATTTTAACAGTATTTTGCTACATACTTCCAGAATGTTACTCTGTGACAGGGAAAACCTGTGGAATATCGTCATCATTGCTTGACCAGACATCATTAGGCAATTGATCACTAATCAATCATTATAAATATAAGGCTTATTTAAATGGTCTATTATTCTTGTTACTATGCGGTCATACATTCTGCAACGAATTAAAAAACACTACTGTGTTTTAAAAAAACATTTCAAATGCTGTTTGTACTACTGCAGTGAACTTTTAGTTCAGCTTTTGGCTGCTCATTTTACACATCCAGTACAGAACTGTAAACTGCGTGGGGTCACTAATTTTAAGGTATTGTTTGTGGCATGTTAAAATGGTATGGAAATTAGTTCATGCTTCTTCACTCGAAGAAGGCTCCACAGCCAGAACGTTGTGTTTCTTTTCTACTCTCTTTTCACCATGGAATAAACCTTTATTTGTATACTAGTTCAGTCAAGCTCACAAACTATTATACGGTAAATCTACTAGAAACGTCTTGTTCCTGAAATACAGTATTGGGTTTACTTTGTAAAATACCTTTTCGATCCCAAATAAAAAACAACATACCAAGTTAACTTGAAAAATTACCTACAGTAAGTCGAACAGTGGTGGGGGCTATACACAGGCATACAACCATAGTACTGCAAACAGACAACTGCTGTACATTCGGGTAGTGCAGTCATTTGTAATGCGGGTGTGCGGTCAGTCATTGCTCAACTCCATTGACTGCAATTTAATACATTCAAAGGCGCGTATCTCCGTTTTCAGTGCATTCCGACAGAATGTTGATGGCAGTTTCTTCGCTTTTGGACTGAAGGGTATTATCACTTTTTTTGGAGGCTTTCCTTGTGGCCCGAGACAACCGCCGTCTGAACGTGTCCCCGGCCAAGAAGTACAAGATAGGATCCACACAGCTGTTCAGGCTGGCGACTCCCCGAGTCACCTGGTAGGTGGCGTACACCTTGTTATTGAAGTCACACATCTCGGGGCTCTGAAAGTACAGCCGGGCTCGCAGATTCAAATTCTTCATCACGTGAAACGGGAGATAGGACACGGCGAACACGGCCAATACGATGATGACGAGGTGGATGGATTTCTTCCTGAGCGGCGCGTTGTTCATCTCGTTGCAGATGAGCGACTTCGCTATCAGTCCGTAACAGCCCAGGATAATCATGAAGGGAATGCAGAACCCGAACACGGTCGTGCACATGCTGTAGATGAAGTAGCTGGGCAGCTCGTCTTCAGTAGTGGTGTCATAGCAGGTGGTGGCGTTTTTCTTCAAGCCGGTCCGGGAGTAGTAAAGTATCGGCGAGATGCCGCCCACCACAATGAACCACACCAGCGCGCTGGTGTAGATCGCGTTCCTCTTCTTCAGCCGCCCCAGCGACTTCAGAGGGTGGACCACCCCGGTGTACCGGTGGACGCTGATGCAGGTCAAGAACAGGATGCTCCCATACAGGTTCACGTGGAAAATGAAGCGCTGCAGTTTGCACATGACATCCCCGAAGATCCAGTCCGTCTTGTTGAAATAGTAAAAGATCAGGATGGGAAGGGAAAGCACGTAGAAGAAATCCGCCAGCGCGAGGTTGAACATGTAGACCGAGATGCTGCTCCACGGCTTCATGTGAAAGATGAACATCCATATGGCCACGCTGTTCCCTATGAGTCCGGTCACGAACACTATGATGTAGACAGTGGGAAGGTAGTAAAACTGAAAGCCAGTCTTCGTCAGCGAACATCCTTTGCTATGGGGATCTATTTCAGAAATATTGAAAAGTGAAGTCAAGTTTAACTCAGCAGTCATGATGTCTGTAAAAGGCAGGTGAGGGAACTGTTAAAACAAAGAAGAGCAACGTCAACTAAATGCATTTAGGGAAAGGTAGCTGTGCTTCAGCTTTAGTGCAGATCCGGCAGTAAAGGACTGGCATGTAGCCGGCGCGGTTCAACTCACCTTGCTTTGCTCCGAGCACATTGAACATTGAACTTTTTTTAAATGTATCGCAACTGATCTTCACGGCGCTTAGTTCTAATAGAGCGCTGCTCCGCTCCTTAGCGGCATGTCATGCTCGTTCTCGGGGAAAAAAAAAAACATGCATTATGAAACCGGCTCTTACTGAGTCCTTTGGAGAAACAAAGTTTCTTACCGTTCACTCGCACACGAATCCCTCATTCCTTACTGGTTGTTTTAAAAGGGCCCCCTTTTCTGTTCGGCCGGGGCTCGGCGTGTCACCCGACGCGTGTCCCCGTAAGGCCCAGCACTACAGGGTCGGATCGGGCTGTAGCCGCCTTGTGGGGGAGCAGGCGAGAGCAGCGCCGAGCCCCTGCCGAGACGCACCAGCGACAGGTCTCCGCGCCAGAAGGAGGAGCGTCTCGGAGCCGGGCGTGGCGTTTGTGAGCCACTTGGAGACGAGCTTCAACATCTGCCCGGTGGAAAGACAGAAAGGCTGGAGCAAAAAGAGCGGCAAGGATCAAAAACACCGAAGAACTGACAAGTGTTGTATCAGCATGCAGTTTGAGCTAATACATGCAATTCAGCCGCGCTCTTGAGGGGGTAGCTGATTTTATTTTCATACACACACCGTGTTTTGTTTTCGTTTTGACTTTTGGAAGAACAAAGCCAAAACGCACATTAAAAATTTATATATTTATGAGTTGCGTCCTAAGATTGGAAAACGTGTTTTTTTTTCTTCTTAGAAATTATGGTCGCGATGAACAGAGGCGTACATTTAAAAAGATCATCAATTATCTTCTCCAGCCAAGAGTCCAATACAAGTCCTTCACTGACCTTTAATTTCCCTGTATTTATTAATACGTCGCAGGAACAATTAACAGATTAAACAGTTCTTCACCGAAGGCTAAGAAATGTTATTTAGATTTTTAGTTTATAAAAAGGAGTTTGTAAAAAAAAATGTCCAGGGATCTACGCGAGTTAGACATGCAAAACACACATAATATGGGGGTCAGGATGAACGAGGCGACAACAATGCAATGCTCCGTCTGTCTGCATTCCTTCCTCAGTTGAAGTCTGTGGACAGTTCGTTTCGTCCTTCGCTTTAGCCACCAAGTAGGACACTTTTAACCTTCTTTTTTTTTTAGAAAAGGCGGGCCACGCAAGAAAATGTTCTTAGACACGGGTGGACGATTGAACCGCGATCTACGTTCACGTTATACACGGGGAAATGACCGAATGTCTCCTGTCCAATCGATTTACAATTAAGGCAAGAAGTCTTTCCGCGGCGCGGAGGAATTAAATCCTTCGCGTCAGGGTGTCCAGCCAATCTAGCATCTTATCTGCTCTGTTTTCACGATGCATACTGCAGACACACACCTCTCCAACCTCTCAAGTCCTCACGGCCGTCTTCACAGTAGGCTTTTCACGCAGAGACGGCTGACTACTGATCTTTTTTTGCGATGAGGGTGCAAAAAGAAATAGACAGATACTTCATTAATCCCGTGCGGGAAATTGCAGAGAAACAACAGTCTCGCACAGTCAACACATCGCACAGCGTAACGAAATGATACAATAATACAACAATACAATACAGTCGGCACAGTCAGCGAGAAGTGCAGTAAAAAACGTTCAAAGATCACGAAAGGAACGGTAACTAGAGAAGTGTCTGATATCTGTTATTAAATTGGCTTTAAATTGTTCAGTTCTTTGGCTTAGTTCGTCGCAGAAATGCAATAACCTCTCGATGTTAGCTAGGTTTAAATATTCGATGTGTGTAATGGGTAGGTATATGCTTAAAGCTTTGGGCTATTGGACCTCCGTCTATTTTGCAAGATTGAGTTCCCAAAGGATAGAAATCAATGCTAAATTAAAGAAATTGACAATAGTCGCGTTTTTTATTCCATAGCACCGTTCCTATGCGTGTATTTCAAGCCATTGTGCTTGAAATTGGGCTAAGAACAGCCGTGTGCTGTGAACAGATTGTTAAAAGACTTTAGGTTCATTTCTGAGGAAACGCAGGAATCCGGGAACAGAAGCTGGCAGCCTTTGGGAACAGACAGTTTAGCGCAGCAGAGTAACCGATCGTTGAAATTCACAGCAGCAGACGGCTCTCGAAAAGACTGGACCGACGAGCTGAAAGTACACGCGTTGAATTGGAATGAAATGTAGTTTTACGAGAGGTTAGAAAGCGTTCTGTTTTCATTCGCTGTGTATGTTTTGTATTGATCAGCGAATTGCGTTCCAAGAGGACGGCACACGTACAGATACTGTAGCTCAAATCTCCTGACTGACGAAGCTGTGATGCTCCTTTCTCAACCTGTTTGCGTCCAATCGATCCACGCACACCACGTGTTTTGGGGGCATCACAATGTACACGTCTTTAAATGCACGAGAATTCCATCGATAATTAATTATCAATTTAAAGACTCCCAGTCCCCGGAATGTCAGCGTCACGATGAAAGTTTGCAGCGCAGGGTTAGTGGGTTCGCAGCACCCAGGTCAGAATCCACGGACTTGGAGATCGTGTAGGTTACCCTTCACTCGCCAGTTTCTAAACATTTGCAACAAACCTGTTTCCAACACTTAAGAAGGTGAGGTGTTAATTTCCTTCAGGAGTCACCTAATGTCCATGCAACACAATTAGCAGCACAGGCAGACTCTGAGTGTGATCCTGTTTTCGAACTTGCTGACTAAGTGCCGAAGTGCACAGCAAACTGGTGTATTGTTTAAATAGAGGTGGGCTGAAAAGATTTATAATAATGTCTGTGAATTAAAAAAAATAAATAATAAGAGCAGAATCTTTGCTGATGTTTTCCCAGCTTTGATGTGTTTTGGTTGAGGTAATGTGCCACAGGCCACCTCCGTATTCTTTAAGTTGGTGTTTATTTGTGCTACAATGTTCAAAGTACAAGTATCTTGCGATCTGAGCCGTCTCATGGGCGAAGCGTGTGTAAGTTACAATAGAGCCTCAAGACCCTTCTGGATTTCGTCAGATTCCAGGCTGAAGGTGAATGGAATCCAAACCGGAGGATTAAAGAGTCATATTAAAAACAAGTTTCTTTTTGCTTGGTGCTTGAGTATCTCGACAGAGGACTGATTTACACCCCAATTCCCTGCACCAAGGTGAGGAGAGAACTGTTTTGTATGGTGATGATGAGAGCCATGTGCACTCTTATTCAAGAACTTAAAAGTTCCACTCTCTAAAGACAAGCATGTCCACCGGCCCTCTCCTTCCAGTACACTTGAGAGAAATTAATCGTGAACAACAGTCATGCAAAATGTATATGTGCAGATAATGGGGGCATTTCTACTGTGCATTTCCCAACAATGCTTTGCAAGATTTTCACCTTCTTGGAGTGCCAACAAGTCAGGAAATGAAACACTTAAGGATCTGAATCATTTAACACATTTAAATAACTGGCAAGAGCACAGGACCTGAGGAGAGATAACGGGAAAACTGGAAATAATACTGGAAAACTATATCAGTACCTGGCTGAACGTCTCTCAGTGTCTTGATCTTCAGTTAAGAACGAGAGACAGTTGGTTCCCATGCTATGCAAGCTTAGAAAGGCCAGAAGAAAATACCAGTGCGGGATCTCTCAGTGCTCATCTGACAATGTATATGGAATACTTGCCAATAACCGAACTTTACAACCAGTATTTCAGATCCAAGAACAAAAGACCTACACCTACAACATAAGCTCTCCTACTGTTCAAAAACAGAAACGCTCTTCTTTTTATCATTTGAAACCGGAATTTCATGCACAACTTGGAATGAACATCATACAGTGGCTCGTAGGCTTAGCCGTGCAGAATCTTGAATCTTTTAGATTCCAGCCACTCTGCATCTCGCATTGTTCATCTCATTCTGGTTCGCGATGCAGAGCTGGATGAAAACCATGTCCATGGGGACACTGTGAATTTGAAATCGGATATGTAAGCCATTCCAGACCACTCTCAAGTTAATCTTTACAAAAGCCAACTGAGCCAGCATACTCAGACAGCTCAGATAAGGTAAATGTATCGATTTGGTTGAAAACAGCAACTAGGTCTTCGTGGATAGGCTATAAATAAAATCATACCCAGTGATTTTCACAGACAAATGGCAAAATAAGCCCATTGAACTCTTCTTGTTGCCAACAAATTGTTGTTGTAATCTGAGATTTTAATGTTGTTCTTTGTTGCTGTTTTTGCATATGTTTTATCATCGATATCCTCCTCTGAAAGAATGCCTGAGCCTTTCCAAAGACGTGTCGAGACCTGATAAGAATGTCTTCAGACTGTTTGCTGTCTTCTTTTTCCTTGGAAAGAGGATAAACAATGCCTTCTGTTATTCTGTGGTAACGGATGGTTGTACTTCAACTTCCAGTTTCACTTGGCCTTCTCCTGATGGAATTATATAGAATAGTATAAACATGTAGTTATATTAAATCAAAATCATATAAATGTCAATTCCCACAAACTGCCTGCGTTTTGGTTTAACAGTATAATGCTAATCAAAGATAAAGGGAACGTCTGACAATGATTTGGAGATACTTAGTGCCGTGTCTCTTTAATATGGTTGACTACTCCTGAAAATATGCATTTTTATCACTTTTTTAGATATTCATATCTATTTATATTCAGCATTTTGATTCTTTTGAAAAGCTGAGTATTTACATTTTAAGACGTACACTTGTTTTTGTGCTCTAAAAAATAAGCACTAAAATGCACTGTCCCTAGCTAATAATTCCAGATTATGACATATTAGTATAGAGTTTTTGGAACATACATTTTCCTTTGATAGCAGTTAAAGATAATTTAGCTATGACTGACCACACACAGGTTTGCACTTCATAAAAGTGATTTCAGTATCCATAAAGTTTTAACACTCTTAGATATAATACTGATCTTCCTATGTATTAAAGGTTTCCCAGTTGTTAGTGTGCTTGGCACTGGTAATGCACTATAACCCTATAAAGCAATATACTGTACACTGACAGGGTCCGATGACTCAGTAGTGATTTAGTGAGGCAGGTAATCAAATTTGTTCTGTCTGAACTTGTGCTCCTAAGGTTTCCAGAGTGGCTGAGATTTAGGTTCTTTCATTGTACATCAGGTTATAATTCTAAATAGCCTCATATTGATTTCTTGGATGTGCCTTGAAATGGGATGTTTTGCAGGTACTTTTTTTAGTTCCTCAGGCACTATACTCTGTACTCTGTACTGTTTATATGAAGACTTCACAAGTGCAGTCAGACCCTGTCAATGGTGTTCCATGTTCTAAAATGACATTTTTTAAACAATGTTGTTTTTCCAAAACCCGAATGCTCAAATCGAAGGCTTCTAAGGGTTAGATACAGTACATTACAGTAAATGACAGCACAAACTAAACAGAAACAAAACTGAAATATGTTGATTGTATAAGTATTCCAAACTCATTTAGTGGAAGCACTTTTGGCAGCAATTGTAAGTTACAAGTCTTTTTTGGGGACGTTTCTACCAACTTTGCAAACCAGCTTGGTGCAATTTCTGCCTATTGGTCTTAATAGACATACCCAAGGACTCTCAGACTATCAGGGTTCACAACCATGTCTTTCCACAAATACTCAGTAGGGTTCAAGTCAGGACGTTGACTGGGCCACTGCACATTCACTTTTCCATTCTTAAGCCACTCCAGTTTAGATATGGGCTTGTTCTTCGGATCATTTTCCAGCTGAAGGGTTTATTTTTAAGAGTTTTGCAGACAGAAACAGCAGG